TCTTTGGCGCCTGCGAGTGGTTTTTGGGTGAGTTGGTTCCCAGGTGCGTGAGCAGCCTGCCATGAATTCAGAGGGGGCCGCTTTTGTCACAGCCACTGGTGTAGAAATTGCAGATCAACTCCTAAATCAGCAAGAACTGAAATTCATAGTTGAAGATGAACTCCTGCCGTCACTGGGAAGATGAACAATAGCACTGTAGTTAGAATAAAAGTGTCTTAGCTAGTCACAATTCAAGCAGTTTGCAACAAATGTGGCAGGAAATTGGCTGTATGTTAAAGTCTGAAATGTTTACATTCGCTCGTGGCACTTAAGAGACTAAAATGTTAAAGTGGGGGGAGGAGGTCCTTTTCCTGGCCTCAGCAACATTTCTATGTGGACCATAAACTATTCTCTTAAAAATGATTTTTCCTAAGGTATCTTCCAAATACTGTGTATTTTTATGTGGAAAGGATATGAAAGCAGCTGTTACTTCAAAATATCATTTAAAGTACTTGAGGTATGAAAGCTTGAAGATTATTTAATCATTTTGGCATAACTTGAATGTTGTTGTAATTTTTGGTCAAGCATGTTGGACAAATAAAGTCTTTAAAACAAACAAACAAACAAAACAAAACAAAATCACACAACAAAAATCAAGGCCTCTTAATATCCAGCTCCGTGTCAGAAAGACTGCCATGTTCTCCAGGGTTAAGAGCCAGGCTGTGGGATATTAAAGGACAGTGATGGCACTGAGGTATTGATGGTTTTTGCAGAGGGGGATCAGCTGGCAGAGGGGCTGGGGATGATGGGCAGAGGGTGCCTCGCTCTGTGTGCCAGTTCCCTGTTACCACATCTCCTGCAGGGGGGAGCAAGTCAGAATTTGGGGTTGCAGAGAGAGGGGAAATAAACAAGCACTGCCTGTAACTGATGTATTTTGGTGGGAGAGCATGCCAGGTGTGCCTGGGAGGCAGGGAAAAGATGGCATGAGGGAGTGGTGCAGAGGAGCTGTGCAGGGGTTGGGAAATGGGGTGCCATACCTTCACTGAGATCTGTCCAGAATCACAGAATATGCTGGGTTGGAAGGGACTCTCAAGGATCACGGAGCTCCCAAAGGAAGGTGCTGATGTGTATCAGCGACGAATGCATTCCCATCACCAGGCAGAATTGTTACTGAGATTAATTTTGGTTCCTTTCAGCGATGAATAGGGGAGATATCACTGCACGTCAATGGGGAAAAAAAAAAAAAAAAAAAAGAAAAAGAGAAGACAGGATTATTTATACCTCCCTCAGTCACATATGGCTGAGGATGTGAAATGTTCCTTGGCTAGAAGGAACGAGCAGGCTGCGACTCAGCACCCACCCAGGCAGCTGCCTGTGCCCAGGCAGCCCCTCCACCCAGGGCAGCTGCACCCCAGCCTTGGTTAACCAGCTTTGGGCTTTCATGTGGTGCTCTTTGGCAGCCCCTGAAGGCAGAACCTTCAGTAAGGTCACTGCAGAGAACGGGGCTGGTGGGAGCAGCACACTGGCCCAGCTCCTTCACTGGGGAGGCTGCAAGGAGGAAGGGTGATAAAACCCCCCTCAGAGTGACTCATGGACACAGGGCAGGTGGGAGGGTTCTCTGGTCCTGCTGCAGGAGGAGAGCTACAGGAGATGAGAAGTAGTTTGTCTTCTCCAATCACCAGTTGCTGCCGATAGTCAACATAAAAAGCTTCAGAAGAAAGAGGAACAAGACATCCCTTGGAAAGAAATTTTTGGAGTAATCTGCCATTGGGGATCTTTGGCCCCCTCCCATTTATTGCTGTTTGTATGAGAATTTCTCTCTTAAAACCCATATTATTGCTCACTGCTCATGTAACTCACATAAAAGCGAGTTTAACTGCAGATAGTCTTTCCTTTCAGGTACATTCCTGTCCCTTTCTTGCAAGTCTCTCTGCATCTGTGATTTTAGTGCTATGCTGGAACAGGGAGCTCCCTGGATGATTATGCACAGTGCATTAGAACAATGGCATTTTGCTTCTCCTCGTACATGTGCTGCTGCTCAGCTTTATTGACTGTCCCTTTGTTCTCTTTTTATGTGAAAAGTGAAAATAGGAGTACTTGTATGTACCTTCTTTGTGCTGTTTGTTATTTTGTATTCTGCCATTATGTTGCTTTTTACTCACTTCACCTAGAAATTAAAATCATTTCAATTCTAGATAGACTCTATTTCTAACTCTCTTACTTTCCCATCTCGGAAAGTCTCCCCTCCTCTCTCTTTGATGTGTCATTTGGGAGTTGGTGAGAGGCAGCAATGACAGAAGAAGACATCTTCTTCCTTCCTATCCAAGCATTTGGATAGTTCCCTGCTACTTTCTCCCCTGATCTTTATCCAATATCTTCAATTCTTCAGGAGTTTTTGGGATAATATTATATATTTGCAACCCCCAGTGGAGCACTGTGATGAGCTGCCCATGGCCTGAGCTGGGTTTTCTCTTTGAGAGCTGATTTGGACTCTCTGGTTTTCCCAACCATCATCCCCTTCCTCCCAAGGAGCCTTACCCAGGCTGTGTCCTTGATGGGGGGGATGATCTTTCCCCACTCTGGCCTCTTCTCCTGGCTTTGATGGTGCCCCTGGCAATTCCTCATCACCTCCAGACAGGCTTTGCTGTTGGAGGGCACTGGGTGGGATACAGAGCTGTGGGACATTTCCACAGCCCTCATCCTGCTTCGG